TCATTTGTTACTGAACTATCCTTGAGCAAATTTATAAGCAAGACTATATTGTTCACAATGCACTGTTTATAGGATTGCTAAAAAGTAAATTTAAACAGATTTAATTTATAAATGACCAACTTTAAGTCACATCTCCTTGTGGACTTATACATATTCATTCTTCCATTCATTGAACAGGTGTCACTGAACACCCAGTGTGTGCCTGGCACCATACACACAATGAGCTTGTGTCTGCTACAACCCTTAGGCATTTCTCACTGAAGCTGCCACTGAGCTTCCAGTTAGCTCAGTGCTCAACCTCAACGCCCCCATCCTAAATGCAGGCCTTGGCCAGGCATGGTGGCTCAAGCCTGCAATCCCAGCACTTTGGGTGACCGATCAAGTGGATCACTTGAGGTCAGGAGTCTGAGACCAGCCTGGCCAACATGGTGAAACCCCATCTCTACTAAAAGTACAAAAATGAGCCAGATGGTAGTGGTGTGTGCCTGTAGTCCCAGCTACTCAGGAGGCTGAAGCAGAATTGCTTGAGCCTGGGAGGTGGAGGTTGCTGTGAGCCAAGATCATGCCACTGTGCTCCATCCAGTCCAGGCAACAGAGTGAGACCCTCACTCTGTTGTGAGTCTCAAATAAATAAATAAATGCAAGCCTTTATATTGCCCACTTCAGGATCTCGTGTCCCAGCCTGCACCTCCCCCCTTATCCCCCCAGGCGCTGTTTCTGTAGCTTCCATGAACAGTCTCATTTTTGTCTTTACTCTGATCCCAGACCAAAACCCAGTGCACTTGAGGGCGATATACTCCCTCTGACATTTTCCACACCCTGTTTTCATCTCATCCTCTCCTCTCTCTGCATTTCTCTCCCTTTTCTTACCTTCTCTTTCTTTGAGCTCTCAAAGAGCTGCACCCTATAAGCCAGGAAAGTCTATCTAGTTAGAGAGAAGCTGAGCCTCAGCCAGCCAATCTAGAGGCAGGTAGAAGAGACCAAAGATACGTGTTTACTGGAGTTCCCAGGATTCTCTGGTGGTGAACTGAAATCTAAAGTATTCAGCCAGGATGCCTAGACCTAAGTGGAATACCCAGGCACCCTCACTTACCCCAGCTTACCAGCCCACAACACTCTCAGGTGCCTATCCAGTTGACCTTTAATTCCCTGACCTGCGGAGCCACACCTGCTTCTGCAAGACCCATGTAAATTTCCTAATTTCACAGCTTCCCACTCCCATCTCTGCTTCTAACCCTTTGAGTCTGAAACACTGAGCTCTGTTCCTATGGTGTCTGGAGCTACTAGCCCTCCTTTCCAGAAAAATGGTGGGTCCAGGATTGATTTTTCCTCCTATCTGTGATCCACACTAGTGCATTCTTCACCCCTTCACCCAGTTCAGTCCCAGGGTTTTCTTTGCTCAAGCCTGCACCTCTTCCTCTAAAGATTAAGCTGCCTCTTTAGGGAGGGGTGAGAATGCAAACATTATAACAGACGAAATTGCTTTCGGTCCCTTTGGGCTTCAGTGGTGTTGACTGGGAATAGCTGGCCAAGTGATTAAGCTGTGGGCATGCAGACTTGTGATCTGGGTTTTCTGACCTGGGCATTGCCACGGCTTTACAATAGGCGACGCTGGGCGAGTCTATGACTCATTAGCCTTTCTGAGCACTGAGGGGGCTGGTTTTATTTGAGCTTGGAGGTTCCACCCAGCAACTCCAGCACTGGTACATAATGGCCACAAGAGGGCGGGCAACCTCTTCAGCTCATAAGTCTGTAGCCTGAACAAGCTAACCTCGAATAGGAATACTGTACGATGGCTTCCAATAAGAAGGGTATGACTTCATGAACAATGTTGCTGAAGAGAGATAGAAAAAAAGAAAGGCCAGTCATGGTGGCTCAGGCCTGTAATCCCAGCACTTTAGGACACTGAAGTGAGAGGATTGTTTGAGCCCAGGAGTTCAAGACCAGCCTGGGCAACATGACAAAACCCTGTCTCTAGAAAAAATACAAAAAGTAACCCGGGCATGGTCACATGTGCCTGTAGTCACAGCTACTTAGGAGGCTGAGGAGGACTGCTTCAGCCCGGGGGCAGTGGCTGCAGTGAGCAGAGACTGTACCACTGCACTCCAGCCTGGGCAAGAGTGAGACCCTGTCTTATAAAAACAACAGGCTGGGTACAGTGGCTCACATCTGTAATCCCAGCACTTTGGAAGGCTGAGATGGGTGGATCACTTGAGGTCAGGAGTTCAAGACCAACCTGGTCAACATGTCGAAACCCTGTCTTTACTAAAAATACAAAAATTAGCTGGCCATGGTGGTGGTGCACATCTGTAATCCTAGCCACTTGGGAGGCTGAGGCAGGAGAATCGCTTGAACCCGGAAGGCAGAGGTTGCAGTGAGGCGAGATCACGTCACTGCACTCCAGCTTGGATGACAGAGCAAGACTCCATCTCAAAAAACAAACAAAAAGCAGGAAGGGTAGATAACCAAGGGTGCACTGCAAAATGGCAACAGAGTAGGGACTAGAACAGGAGATTCAGATTCCCAGTCTGAGAGGAAGTCAGGAGTTCCAAGACCATAAGAGTGCTGTGGAGAGGTCTTGTGAGCAGTGGAAGAGGCCGAGAATATACTTTGGAGATTTCAGTCATTTGAGGGGGTGAGAGGAGAAGAGAGGGTGTTTAGGGATGAGCCATGGACTGAATATTGCTCCAGAAGGACTGGGGTAGGAGTTTCAAAATGAGACTTGTGGTGGAATTTAGGGAAACAGATAATCAGTTTGGCTTCCTTCCCTTCCCCAACACAGAATACAAAATAGAGAAGTGGCAGGAGTTATTCCAGGATTTGAGGAGGATGCCTCTTTTGCAGGAGGACACAGTGAACAGCCAAAGTCATCTGACCTTTTTCCTCTAGCATTCCAGTTTCAAGGCCCAGGAAAGGCAGGGACTGACAGATGGAGCAGTTACCCAGAGTTCAAAGGATTCATGTCTACAAATTCATTCTCTGACACCAGCCACAGCTCTTGTCCCCCAACTCTGGGACTGTCCTCTCTCTGAGCCCCAGGTTGGCAGCTTTCCTGAATTCCTTCTATGATGTAATTTGTAATTCGGTAGAGCTCTGGGACCCAGGCTCAGGGCCAGTTCCCTTCTCCCTCCTCAGGTTCCAGGAGTCCATCAGGGTTTGCGCTAAGGGAGGAAGTAAACAAGCCTTTCCCTTGCTCCCTCTTCCCTTCCAGGATAGGGCAGGGGGACCAAAGAGCTTCTGTCTTTCCCTGCCACGCCCCCACACTGTAGCCCAGACAAGGCGATTCCTTGTGTCCCGACCTCAGGCAGGCATCCTTGTGACCAAATGGTGGAAGGCTAAGGACAGGGTGGGGGAAGGGCAGTCACAAAGTCAGAGAGGATGACACGTCCCCCATCCAAGATTCTGGTACACCCTCAGAGCTCTGAGACCTTGAGCTTCTCTCTCCCTGGCTCCCATCAACAAAGGGCAGGGGAGGCCAGGACTCACCTGCATATAAAAGGCCTGGAGAAACTGAGAAGGCAAGGACACACAGAAGCTGAACCTCTTGGCAGGGAGATATGGAATCAGAATACAGGAATAGGGCCAGATACAGTGACTCATGCCTGTAATCTCAGCACTTTGAGAGGCTGAAGCAGAAGGACAGCTTGAGCGCTGGTGTTCAAGTCTGCCCTAGGAAACATGGCAAAATGCCGTCTCTGGAAAAAAATACAAAACTTAGCTAGGCATGGTGATGCATGCCTGTAGTTTTAGCTCCTCGGGAGGCTGAGGAGGGAGGATCATTTGAGTCCAGGAGATTGAGCCTGCAATGAGCACCACTGCATTCCAGCCTGGGCGACAGAGGGAGAGCTTGTCTCAAAAAAACAACAAAACAAAAAACAGAATGCAGGAATGGGGGCAACCCAGGAACAGGGTAAGACAAGGGACTGTGGCAGGGCGGAACAAACAGACTTGAGAGCAGTAAGTGGAGACCCCTGAAAGTTTCTCTCCCTAAAAGCAGAGTCAGGAGTGCTGGCCCAGACAGGGATGCAGGGATGGAGCCACAGAGGAAGTGAGATTCCCTAGGATAAAATGAGAATGCTCTATTTAAAAAGTAAGAACCTTCTGAAAAGAAGCACAAACATCTGACAGTGAAAAGCTTTCCTGCTAGGAGGAGTAACATCTTCCTGTTCACAAGAAGTAATGGTATGGACAATAAATAATGTGATCTCCCTTAGCACCAGGGGCTCAGATACCCCTATATGACCTACCACCATCCAAGGGCCACCCATCCTGGCAGGAAATGACATCACTTAGCAGGTAGGAAGGGGCAAGTCCACCAGCCCAGAGACTTCTGGGAGGGCCAACCCATAGAGGGTTAGTCCTGAACGCCCATGTCCCTCCTCAATCCTCCATCTTGGCCAAGAGAGGGCCAAGGCTTCTAGACTTTGGGTAAAGTAATTACACCCCCATCTCTTCATCAGTGAACTCCTGGGGGTCTTAAATGCCTTAAATCCTTACCTAGCTGCGGGGAGTAGTAAGAGATACTTCACACCAGAAGCCACAGGTCAATCCTCTAGAGTCAGTATCTCTATAGAAATATCTGTAGGGGCCAGGCACAATCCTAGCACTTTGTGAGGCTGAGGTGGGAGAACCCCTTGAGCACAGGAGTTTGAGAGCAGCCTGGGCAACATAGGGAAACCCTGTCTCTACCAAAAAAAAAAAAAAAAAAAAGTAAAAATCAGCCGGGCAGAGTGTACATGCCTGTGGTCCTAACTATGTGGGAGGCTGAGGTGGGAGGATTGCTTGAGCCCAGGAGGTCAAGGCTACAGTGAGCCGTGATCATGCTGCTGCTCTCCAGCTTGAGTGACAGCATAAGATTCTGTCTCAAAAAAAAAAAAAAAAGAAAAGAAAAGAAAAAGAAAAAAGAAAGAAAGAAATAGCTCTAGGGACCCAATAATTGAGGGATAAAGGAAGAGACTCCCTAGGTACCAGTAAATGATGAGCCAGGTTTCCATAGTAACTGATTTCCGTGCAGCCTCTTCCTGGTCTCAGACTAAGGAAGAATCAATTTTGAGGGAGACCACAACTAACAGATAAAAGAGGATTACAAAAGGGTGGAAAAGTTGTTACAAGAAGGTCACATCATCCTGGCACTGCTCCCAGAACCAGTGGGCCTCGAAGCCCAGGTTAGCACTCTCATCCTCTGGTGACTCAGGCGGTCCACCTTGAAGCCTCTCCCCTGGGGGCTTCCACATAGCCCTCAAGCTCCCTAGCCTCATGGCTGTCACATCCACCTCAGTCCTGGCCCTCTCTCCACCAGCTATAATCTTTGCCCAGTCCATCTCAGGACGTGGAGCCCCAGGTGGGCCCTGTTCATCCAGCTCGCCGGGGGCCACTGTGTCCAGGAAGCTGCCAATAGAGACACTGTCTAGCCGGTCGGTGGTGCTGGTGTCTGGCAGGCTGTCCCAGCTGCCTCTCCTTGAGCGGCCTGGGCTCCCGCCTGTCAAGCTATATTGACTGCTGGTGAGGCTGCTGCAATGACTGGTCAACGTCCCCCGCTCCTCCAACAGCCAGCGCACCGCCTCGATGCCCTCATTCAAGGTCACCAGCTGCTGCAGGATCTTCACATCGATGGCTCGCAGGTAAGCCTGGGAGAGTGGGAGAAGGAATTAGTCCCAGTTCTGGGGTGTGGGTTTCCCCAGTGTTTCCATAGGCCCCTACCTTGTAGCCCAGGCAACCATGTTCCACTTGAAGATGATGGAATTATAATGGCTTGCAGTGTGGGCTTCAGAAGCAGACGGACTGCGGCCTCAGATTTCAGCTCTACCGCTGATTAGCCATAACTTCTTTGATCCTCACTCTCTTCGTTTGCAAAACAGGACTAAATCACTTACCTCACAGGGTAGCTGTGAGGATTCTGAAATGCTGTCTATTAAGTAGTCGGCACAGTGCCTAGCACAGACGAAGGTCTCAATAAATGTGAAGTATTAAAATCCAATCCTACTAAGCTTTGAACTTCATATTTAGGGTACCTTTTTTTTTTGACACGGAGTTTCGCCCTTGTTGCCCAGGCTGGAGTGCAGTGGTGTGATCTTGGCTCACTGCAACCTCCACCTCCTGGGTTCAAGCGATTCTCCTGCCTCAGCCTCCCAATTAGCTGGGATTGTAGGCATGTGCCACCACACCTGGCTAATTTTGTATTTTAGTAGAGACGGGTTTCACCATGTTGGCCAGGCTGGTCTTGAACTCTTGACTGCCCACCTTGGCCTCCCAAAGTGCTGGGATTCCAGGCATAAGCCACTGTGCCCGGCCACAGGGTACTGACTATCGAACCTGGCCAGATTCACCAGAAATACATAGAAACAGAATAGCCAGAGAGGGTGTTAGTCAGGAAGCAGACTGGGCCAAAAGGAGCAGGAGCTGGGGAATAAAGAGCTAACCTGGTTCCTTAGTCCCTTCAGCGCACTGGTAGCAGCCACTGAGGGAGGAAAGGGTTGGCCTGAGCTTAGAAGGGTCAGAATCCCATTGGCTGGGCACTCAGGGCTTCTTCCCCATACACACCAGCCTCCAATTTGACTTACAGGGTAATCTCAAGGGTCCCTTCCAGCTTAGATGCACTGTTACCTTCCCTAAGCACAAGTCTGAACCTGTCTCTCCCTGCTCAAGAGCCTTAATGGCAACAGCTCTTACAGAGTGCTGAATCTTAACATCTGCAATAGCAGGGAACTCTGCCCTGCTCTTAGAGAATGAAACATAAACATTTTAGCAGCTGGCATTCAAAAGCCTGTAACACATGGCTCTCGCCCATCACTATAGCTTCACCTCTAGCATTTTGCCCTGTGAACCCAAGGCCCTGCCATGAATGACTTTAAAACTAGTTTTATTTCGCTTTACTTGTATTTTATTATTATTTTTTGAGATAGGGTCTCTCTCCATCACTCAGGCTGGAGTCCAGTGGCACAATCATGGCTCATACAGCCACCATCTCCTGGTCTCAAGCAATTCTCCCACCTCAGCCTCCCAAGGAGCTGAGACCACAGGTGTGCACCACCACACCTAGCTAATTTTGTTTCTTGTAGAGACAAGGTCTCACCTTGTTGCCCAGGTTGGTCTCAAAACTCCTAGGCTCAAAGCAATTCTTCTACCCTGGCCTCCCAAAGTGCTAGGATTATAGGTGCGAGTCACCACGCCCAGCCCAGTTTTACTTCCAGTTGAAGTAGCAGACGCACAGAGATTAAAGAGGCAAACAGTTCCACAAGATCATGAACATGAACAGTTCTCCCATCCTGGTCCTACATCCCAGAAACAACTATTATTATTTATTTAGATGTTTATTTTGGTATTTACCTCCTAATCTCCAAATAACACGCTTATATTGCTACTTATCTTTCTTTCTTTTTTTTTTTTTTTTTTTTTTTTTGAGACAAGGGTCTCAAAAGGGCAGTGGTGCGACCTCAGGCTGGAGTACAGTGGTGCGATCTCAGCTCACTGCAACCTCCGCCTCCTGGGTTCAAGCAATTCTCCTGCCTCAGCCTCCCAAGCAGCTGGGATTACAGGCATGCGCTACCACAACTGACTAATTTTTATTTATTTGTGTGTGTGTGTGTGTGTGTGTGTGTGTGTGTGAGAGACAGAGTCTCGCTCTGTCACCAGCCTGTAGTGCAGTGGTGCAATCTTGGCTCACTGCAACCTCTGCCTCCCAAAATCAAGTGATTCTCCTGTCTCAGCCTCCTGAATAGCTGAGATTACAGGCGTCTGCCACCACACCTGGTGAACTTTTGCATTTTTAGTAGAGACGGGGTTTTGCCGTGTTGGCCAGGCTGGTCTCAAACTCTTGACCTCAGGTGATCCACCCATCCCAGCCTCCCAAAGTGCTGGGATTACAGGCATGAGCCACCGCACCTGGCTTTTTTTTTTTTTTTTTTTTTTTTTTAGATGAAGTCTCACTGTATCACCCAGCCTAGAATGTAGTGGTGTGATCCTGGCTCACTGCAACTACTGCCTTCAATCAATTATCACGCTTCAGCCTCCCGAGTACCTGGGACCACAGGTACCCATCACCATGCCTGGCTAATTTTTGTATTTTTAGTAGAGACAGGGGTTCACCATGTTAGCCAGGCTGGTCTTGAACTCCTGACCTCCTGAACTCTGCCCACTTTGGCCTCCTAAACTTCTGGGATTACAGGCATGAGCCACTGCACCCAACCAGCATTTAACTTTCATCCCACTCCCCACTCCCCACTCCCCAGCCATACAGATACCCTTCCCATTTTCTATCCTCAAAATAGGCAATAAAATTAATCAGTGTTTACTTTATTAAGACTTGGAAATGTTCTTCACAGCTAAGCCATGTAGTTTACTATAGTTACTTTTTATTTCTTACACCTTTTTATCCTTAGAATTATTATTATTGTATTACCTACTTTGCTGTGTAGTTATCAGTAAGTCAACCTCAAACACTCCTTCAATTGTCTGAATTTCCCTCTCCAGGCTTTCGAACTCATCACGTGTCCTATCTATTCCATCTTCTGAGTGGCATCTCTTAAGTCTATCTGTCCTGGTTGCACAATTGCTCTCCAGGGATCTCCCTTCATTATCATCTTGGGAATTCTGTTGCCTCTTTCCTTAGCTGGATCCCTTGTTTCTTAGAGTCCATATATTTTTTCTTAATTTACTCCTTCCTTTGGGTGGATGGTTCTCTCCCTCTAGAAGTGTCCTGAGAAAGTTGGTGTAAGAGGTAAATTTGTTGAAGCTTTGCATGTTTTAAAATGTTATTACACATCCATAAGAAAGAATGAAATCGTATCCCTTGCAGCAACATGTATGCAACTGGAGGCTATAATCATAAGTGAACTGATGCAGAAGCAGAAAACCAAATACTGCACGTTCTAACTATAAACGGGAGCTAAACACTGGGTACATGAACATAAAGATGGTAACAATAGACACTAGGGACTATTAGATGAAAGAGGGAGGTGGGGGCAAGGATTGAAAAAATAATTGTGAGGTACTATGCTCACTTCCTGGGTGATGGGTTGAACCGTACCCTGAAATCTCAGCATCATGTGATATACCCATGTAACAAACCTGCACATGTACCCAACTCTGAATCTAAAATAAAAGTTGGGCTGGGCATGGTGGCTCTTGCCTGTAATTCTAATACTTGGGGAGGCCAAGACAGGAGGATCACTTGAATACAGGAGTTTGAGGCCAGCCTAGGTTAACAGAGTGAGACCCTGTCTCTATAAAAATTTAAAAATTAGTCAGGTGTGGTGGTATGTGCCTGTAGACCAGCTACTTGGGAGGCTGAGGTGAGAAGATTGCTTGAGCCTGGGAGGTCAAGGCTGCAGTGAGCCATGATGGTGCCACTGTACTCCAGCCCGGGTGACAGAATGAGATTGCTCTCAAATAAGATAAAATAAAATAAAAGTTGAAATTATTTTTTTTAAAGTTATTAATCTTTCCTCACACTATTGATAGTTTGGCTGAATATAGAATTCCAGGTTGAAAATAATTCTTCCTCAGAAGTTAAGGCATTGTTTCATTGTCTTTTATTTTTTAAGACAGGGTCTCACTCTATAGCCCAGGCTGGAGTGCAGTGGCACAATCATGGCTTACTACAACCTTGATCCCCTGGGCTAAAGAGATTCTCCTGCCTCATCCTCCTGAGTAGCTGGGACTACAGGCCTCTACCACTACACCAGGCTAATTAAAAAAATTTTTTTTGTAGATGGGGGTCTTACTATGTTGCCCAGGATGGTCTCAAACTCCTGAGCTCAAGGGATCTGCCCACCTCGCACCCAGCCTCCTTTTTAAATTTTTAGTGTTAGCCTTTAAAAAGCTAATGCTGTGGCTGGGTGCAGTGGCTCACACCTGTAATTCCAGCACTTTGGAAGGCTGAGGCAGGCAGATCGCCTGAGGTTGGGAGTTCAAGACCAACCTGACCAACATGGAGAAACCCCGTCTCTAGTAACAAATACAAAATTAGCCAGGTGTGGTGGCAGATGCCTGTAATCCGAGCTACACAGGAGGCTGAGATAGGAGAATCGCTTGAACCCGGAGGCAGAAGTTGCAGTGAGCCGAGATCGTGCTATTGCACTCCAGCCTGGGCAACAAGAGCGAAACTCGGTATCAAAAAAAAATATATATATATATATATATAATGCCATTCCAATTTCTGATCCTTTGTACGTGACCCTTTTCCCGGAAGTTTTTAGGATCTTCCCTGTTCCCAGTGTTCTGTTTCACTGCAATTTGCCATGGTGTGACTTACTTTCCATCCATTGAGTTAGTCACTTGATGGGCCTCTTCAGTCCTGAAGCTTATGTCCTTCAGTTCTGGGAGATTTTCTTTAATTATTTCTTTGATGATTATCCTCCAGTATTTTTCTGTTCTTTCTGGGAATCCTATTACTTGGATAGAGGGTATCCTGAACTGATCCTTTATGGTTTTCTTTTTTTTTTCACTCTTGCATCTCTTTCTATATTTGCTCTAGTTTCTAAAATAGTTCGACATTATCAACTCTTTTTTCTTTTTCTTTTTTTTTGAGTTGGAGTCTCACTGTTGTCACCCAACTGGAGGGCACTGGTGTGCATCTTGGCTCACTGCCTTCCTCTCCTGGGTTAAAGCGATTTTCACGATTCAGTCT